AAGTTATTTATTCCTAAGCGAAAAATGTGGTAAGAGAATAATTTTCTCACGGTTGAAAATTTGAAGTCCATTGATATTTTCTCTATAACATTTTTATTATCACGACATAGTATCTGAAATTTTAACCAATCCAATGATTGTTATTGTTGAATGAATATTCAAAATGTCGCGCAACGACTACTAAACTATTTAATAACACTAATCTTACCAGGCCTAGCTAAACGACTGGTTTAAAAATCTAATTTAAAATTGTACACTTATCGTTATTTCTTTTGTTCATCTAGGTTTATGTGAATTCTTATATTCTCCGATTAATTGATTTCTCAACTTTTAAAACCAGTTATGTGACCGGGCCTGGTGAGATTAGTGCCAAAAGCCAACCTAAAATTTTTTTCAATTTCTGATTTTCGGCTGATTTTCAGTATTTTGCCTCCGACTTTTTACCAGCAATTAGATTTGACAAACGAAGTGCAATGTAAGACTTGCCAACGTTTAGGCCATGTGGCTTCTAACTGCAACAGACTGCCGCAGCGTTAAATTCAACGATAAATTATGATCTAGATGAACGTATTAATCCAGATTCCAGAGGATAATACAAATCAACCTTGTTGCGTGTGGTGTACAAATTTTGATCATCCTGTTCACATCAAGATTGCTCTCAACGCTTATTATTAGTGTTAAAATGCCGATAGCAAAAGAGAATTTGGAATATTAACGAAGACCGAAACAAATAAATACGAATTCGTTCGTGAAACAAGTGACTCAAAAATTACTTGCAGTCAAATTCCATCGAATAATAACTAGATAATTGTCCTAACCTCTGTATTCCCTTATTTCATCGCGATATATTTGATGGCTAAATATGAACCATAACCCTAATACTGTCCTTGGAGAAACGGCTAAATACTACAATACAAAGCTCAAACTCTAAACTTATAGGGGAAATCTTCACGTTTATACCGCAGCAACATAGCTCAATAGTGAACCGGCTCCTCTCACTTCACTAAATAATAGGGCGACGGTCCCCTAGACGAGTCAAGTAACTCGGCGGTAAGAACAGAGCATCGCGTGCAGCATTCAAGATTTTCAAGAAGCCAATATGAAGCTAAATCTGTATATCCATTATTAAGAGGGGGGGGGGGTTAAAGTTTATTCGTACAAAAAAAGGCATGTTTTGTGAATTTTTTCTGACGATACAGTTAAAATTTCTTTTTTAAAACCAATAGTACATTAAAGTATGACATTCGAAGAATGTTGCATAAAATTTTCACGGAGAAATATTAAAAAATACGGCAATGGCAGCAATTATTCGGACGTGTCTCGGAAAAAAGTATAATTGCGGTGCCCCTGAGTACGTGATGCTGGATCATCAAGAATCAAAAAATTAAAGTTCACTCGTTAGGTAACAGCTTTCTCCAGCTAACGCTGCAAAGACTTTTTCGAAATTTTTATTTTTCACTTTTTTGGAACAATTTTTCACTTTGAAGGGAAAAACGCGATTTAGTGCAAAAATTTTCGGCTAATTCGTTATTTTAAAATAAAAACAGTTAAAAAATTTGAAAAAAACTCTATAGCGTTACCTCGAAAATTATGTACAAAAGTAGTTTTCAAAACTTCAAAAGGATCGGTGCAGTAGTTTTGAAGTAATTGGGGACACCGACTTTGAAAACGTGAGTTGTGGGGAAAACGCTTTAAAGTTTTGAACACTAAAAAATCTGGTATAAAACGTTCATAAGCGAATTTTATCGGTTTACCTCTTCACTGTTGAATTGTTGAAAAGACTAATAAAAAATCAATTATCCTATAATATTTTTCACGATCCTTCGTAATTTGATCTTCAACAGTCACTTTTATTTTTTTAGCTGACGCGTTATTTGTTGAAGTGTCTTCGTATTTACGTTTATGCGAAGGTACAATTTTTCTAAGTCGATATAATCTCGAACCAGTTGATTGTCTATCAGATCTGGTAACCTTGTGAATTTTTTCTGACGATACAGTTAAAATTTCTTTTTTAAAACCAATAGTACATTAAAGTATGACATTCGAAGAATGTTGCATAAAATTTTCACGGAGAAATATTAAAAAATACGGCAATGGCAGTAATTATTCGGACGTGTCTCGGAAAAAAGTATAATTGCGGTGCCCCTGAGTACGTGATGCTGGATCATCAAGAATCAAAAAATTAAAGTTCACTCGTTAGGTAACAGCTTTCTCCAGCTAACGCTGCAAAGACTTTTTCGAAATTTTTATTTTTCACTTTTTTGGAACAATTTTTCACTTTGAAGGGAAAAACGCGATTTAGTGCAAAAATTTTCGGCTAATTCGTTATTTTAAAATAAAAACAGTTAAAAAATTTGAAAAAAACTCTATAGCGTTACCTCGAAAATTATGTACAAAAGTAGTTTTCAAAACTTCAAAAGGATCGGTGCAGTAGTTTTGAAGTAATTGGGGACACCGACTTTGAAAACGTGAGTTGTGGGGAAAACGCTTTAAAGTTTTGAACACTAAAAAATCTGGTATAAAACGTTCATAAGCGAATTTTATCGGTTTACCTCTTCACTGTTGAATTGTTGAAAAGACTAATAAAAAATCAATTATCCTATAATATTTTTCACGATCCTTCGTAATTTGATCTTCAACAGTCACTTTTATTTTTTTAGCTGACGCGTTATTTGTTGAAGTGTCTTCGTATTTACGTTTATGCGGAGGTACAATTTTTCTAAGTCGATATAATCTCGAACCAGTTGATTGTCTATCAGATCTGGTAACCTTTTTAGGCATTTTAGTAATAATTTAACACAAAACTTAATGAAAATGGAATATTTACTCCTACAATAAATTTTTTACTCTACACTGACAAAATATACAGTACAGGTATAAGGAGGTTTGTACTTAAGTCGTTAAGTACTATAAATAGATCTGGGGGTAAGATTAGGTATTATATAGAGAAAAAAATGTCTGCGAAATAACAATAGCACGCTCGGGTCGAGTAGGAATTATCATCCGACATGTATAAAAATACTCGTAACTTCGTCAATTTTGCTCCAATCGACTTGAAAGTTTGACACAATATTCTTAAGATGTTATGCATTCAATTAAAAAAAAAAAAATAAAAGAAATGCAAAAAAGAAATTTTAAAACCTTACCCCCCCCCCTTAATCTATGTTTTGTTCCTTGACAATGTTTAACATCAACCAAATATTTAAGAGAAAACGGCCCTCCTTATAAATGAAATCTCATAATGGAACTTTCGGGCAGGCGACTATATAAGGCCAACTGACTCAGGGTTCAAAATAATTACCCGTGCTTCCAGGTTTTTTCCTGAAACACGACTAGGAAAGTCGATAGCTGCCACTATAAGGCATTATCTGAAATAGATTTGAACCGCGAGAAAGTTTCGGAAATCCCCCAAAAACATCTCCAAAGTAACAGCACAACAACGGAATTTACTCAGAGCAGCCTCTATTTCTGTCAACAAACAAGTGCTCTGTAATGTGGCGACCTCTACTCGAGGTTGCGAATGGAACTCGAGTATCGCGCCTGGAGACATATCGACCCGTACAGCAACATGGTGTCTCGAAAATAAAATTTGGTAAACAACCATTTTGTCGGGAACTTGCGCTTAGTAAATTCCTCCTATTCCAACTTATTCCATGCTATTAATCCTTGTGATTGGAATGAACTCACTCTCCCAATCTGAAACTAACAGGGCGATAGGCCAATAACAAAAAGTGAAGAGAATAATACTCTTAACAATGCAGCTTATTATATGGCTCTCGATACACCGTAGTACGCGCTCAGCTCCACAGGTGTCACTCGGTGCTCGAATACCTAACTGTCGTGACTAGCAATAATCCCTAGATGGCACGGAGCACGTTCCGTATACTCATCTAAGGCTACATATCCTAACTTGTACGTACAGCGTATTGGTGGCACCACCAATTCGTATATCGGCACCAGGCTGATGATGATTCTATAACCTGCCCTGAGTAACGGGGCCCCCATACCAAGATGGCGACCGCTTGACAGGTCCGTGCGCGTCTCTTCACGTCGATACCATTGGCTTCCGCGATAAGAAGACCTACCGTGCCAAGTGAGGGCCACCCTTCACTTACGAGATCCAAAAACTCAACGCACCACCGAGCTTCCGACGCCCTTTATGCATCGTTCGACCGAAGCCAGACGAGGCTAATGCTGTTTCACATTTTTTAACCATTGTACGCATCAGTAATCTACCCCGTTCAGTACACCACCATCATCGTCTGTCATTCTGGTTTTGAAGTCAAGATCATTTACCTTATTGATGTCCAAAGTTACCGTAAATTACATAACGTTAGTCAGTACAGTGACCAAAGTAAGTAATGCTAAACAACTAGCACGAACATAAATAAAAACTCTCAGTTTTGTCAGTTACAGTCCATAACAGCACCGGCATATTGTACATTATTTAAAAATTATTTCATCCTATCTTGGCAATACCAAATTCAAAATGTTTAGGGGCGGAACTTACTGTAAGCCGACAATATCTCAGCAGGCCACTATGTGATAATGGAGGAAGCCATCACCCCAATATGGCGCCAACTGCCTGATGTTGTAAACGGCACTCTCATCCGGCGCAAGCTCGGCGATCTCAGAATCGAGCTCCGAATAGCAGGTCTTTTTCACAACATAGCGCCGAATACCAGTCCCGATAACGTCGTTTCTGCTCGTGGCGATCAAGTGCGTTACAAAAGGTATCATAAAGTGGTAGAACCATATTACAAACTTACATACTCGTCAACAGCCCAAACGTCAGCATTAGTCGTTCGACTTGTTACCTGCACTCAAACCGATACGTACCATAGGCCCTCGTGCAGCCATTAGTTAAAATCATCCAATATTATTTATTTAATTAGTCGATTTTCATTTAATTTAATTTAATTTACTTTAAGGACAGGGCCTGGAGTCCTATTAATAAATATCCAGCTGGTATTACCACCATGGCAAGGTGAGCCAATATTTACATATACTATTATACTCGTAATAAAACTTTT